GTCAGCGGATTGGATAGTGATTTACTAAAATGCTTATTTTATTAACTTAACATGTATAATGGTAAATTATTTGGATGAGGGTTAATCACCAATTGAACAACCTTTATGGGAAAGTAAGATTCGAATCATTTCAGGTGTGTTTTATGGGTTTATTTAATCAAATCGCTTGATAAATTGTAAGTGATTTTGATTCCGCTTAAAAATCGGTGTGTGGCACCGCGGAATGGAATTGCGGGGATTTTCCAGCAAAAGTAATTTCTGTGGCACCCCTGATAACTAAATAATAATAAAACGAGAAGGAACGTGGGAGTCGCTTCTGGGGACGCGACTCTACTGATACCCGTACTCAGTCAGTATATACATGTTTAAGCTTATAATTTTTTAGAATTTTAGAATTAAAAAAAAAATTTTACATTCATCTTTAATGTATATTTTACATCTAACATGAATATTCTAAATGTACCATTTAGATTTTACATCTCCTCCACTAGGGATTGATCGCGCACTGAACGCGGCAGAGTGTGCGAGCGAGAAAGAGAATGAGTAGCGTGTCTCTTGCTGAAGGATGTGGCGGAGGGAAGCAACTGAAAATTAATTTCTTCATTCTGGCTATAAACATGATCCGATCTGATTCAGATTCGGCAATCTGGTAGATATGGGAATTCTCTACGATACTGCGTTTTAAAAATTTTTTTTTTTTAATTGTGCCTGCCACAGATTTTCGTCCTTTGTGGGGGCGGAAGGGGGCGGGGCGAAATTTTGAAATACACTTGTAGCAGTGTGATATCACATGAGTCTGGAAACCAAGTTTGGTTTCTCTAGCTCTTATAGTCTCTGAGATCAGGCGCTCATCAAGACGGACAGACGGACGGACAGACATGGCTCTTTCCACTCGGCTATTGATGCTGATCAAGAATATATATACTTTATGGGGTTGGAAACGTTTCCTTCTCTGCATTGCACCACTAACCATACAGTATAAAGATGTACTAGTTCATACAACGACTGTGTCGCAGCTGAGTTTTCTGTCTCAGGTCCACAGGTCTTCGGCTGGTGGACCTGAGACGTTCGGAATTTTTCGACATGTTCGATTCATGACGAGATGCGAAATCAAGCCGAGAATTGAAAATTATCTGTGAACACAGACACAACAAAATATTTATCAATTCTTATTTTCCGAAACCGCTTTGAGTTTGTTTTGTGTTTCCAGCTTAAGTACATGTGTGTGTGCCATAGATTTAAATGAACAATACCTTTAACGACGCCTAATTAATGCGTCTATCTAAAACTAAAAATGTATGGAAAGAATTATTTTTTTTCGACTTTTCAATGTTTTTAAAGTCAAATTTTCGGAAAAAACTACCGCAAAAAAATTATGAAATTTTAAGTTGAAAGCTTAATATCTTCCAGGCGTTAAGCTGCAGATACAAAGTGTCTGAGTCCGATTTAAGCTGCATTTGTCAACTTTTCAGAACTGCAAAGTTCTATGCAAGATAAGATACTTAAGTTATTTGAAAAACAAAAGGCACTACCTCTGAAAAAAACATTAAATAAAAAAAAACCAGATTTTAAAAAATTCTTTAAAAAAACTAAACCGTACAAAAAAAAAACCAAAATTCGTTAAAAAAAAATATAAACCCCGAAATCTATAAGAACGAGAAGGAACGTGTGAGTCGTTTCTGGGGACACGACTCTACTTATACCCGTACTCAGTCAGTATATACAGCTTATGATTTTTTAGAATTTTAGAAAAAAAAAAATTTAACAATTTACATTTTTTTGCTACATCTGCTATCTACATCTACATATACAATGTCTATATCTAACATGTAGATGGTACATGTTCCATTTAGATTCTACATCTCCTCCGCTAGGGGTTGCTCGCGCACTGAACGCGGCAGAGTGTGCGAGCGAGAAGGAAAATGAGTTGCGTGGTCGTTTGTTGGAGGAGGGGCAGGGGAAGCAACTGAAAATTAATTTCTTCATTATGGCTATAATTACGATCCGATCTGATTCAGATTCGGCAGTCTGGTAGATATGGGCATTCTCTACGATAATGCGTTTTCAGTTTTATCGTATCTTTAATTGTGGCTGCCACAGATTTTCGTCCTTTGTGGGGGCGGAAGAGGGCGGGGCGAAATTTTGAAATACACTTGTAGCAGTGTGATATCACATGAGCCTGGAAACAAAATTTGGTTTCTCTAGCTTTTATAGTTTTTGAGATCCAGGCGTCAAACAAGACGGACAGACGGACAGACAGACATGGCTCTATCGACTCGGCTATTGATGCTGATCAAGAATATATATACTTTATGGGGTCGGAAACGTTTCCTTCTCTGCGTTAGGTTAGGTTGAGGCGGCTGTCGGGGTTGTCAGAGACACACCTAGGCCGGTTTCGGCCCATTGTGATACCGCATGTTTCGTTCCCATTCTCCCTCGTGAGACCCTATGTTATCCATTATCCCATCCGGATGCCCTTATGAAGCCTGCGATCCGTCTGTGACTGATTGTAAACATGCCCGAAATGTCAATTAGGAAAGGAGCACCCAAGTATTGAAGTCTCCTTCTACTGAGAGCCGGACAGGAGCAGAACAGGTGTTCCACAGTCTCCTCCTCGTCCTCATCTCTACAGCTCCGACAGAAGTCGTTGTAGGGGGCACCCAGCCTGTTAGCATGGGTGCCTATTAGCCAATGTCCCGTAAGGGAGCGTATGACTGAGCTGCACCTGCTCCTACTGAGTTTGCAGAGCTCATCAGTGCGCTTCCTAGTAATGTTAGGCCATGTTTGCCGAGTTATGCGACATAGTGGCACTGTTTGCCATCTGTCATTTATTAGTTGCTTAAAATGTTCTTTTATTTTGAGCTTTCAGGTGGCCATTGGCATACGAATATCCTCCTTATCATGGAGCAGGGGGATTGTTGTACAAGCTCTGGCCAGCTCGTCTGCTATACAGTTGCCTTCAATGTCCTGGTGGCCCGGGACCCATATTAGGCTGATGACAAACTGATAAGCCATCTCATGGAGAGATTTGCGACAGTTTGCCACGGTAGCCGAGCTTGTTGTTATCGCGTTCAGTGATTTGATCGCAGCTTGGCTATCACTATAGATATTTATATAAGTTGCCGTAGGGGCACGTTCCTGAAGGCAGCTCAAGGCTTCCCTGATCGCTATGACTTCCGCTTGGAAGACACTACAGTGATCTGGGAGCCTAAAAGAGTGTCTTATATTCAGATGATCGGAGAAGATTCCTCCTCCGACTTTGTTGTCCAGCTTTGAGCCATCAGTAAAGATATTGTAACGAACCGGTCTGGTCCGCCTTGTGTGCACTTGGCGTACTCAGCGGCCGGTGGGTTCGCTGCAACGAATTTGGGTGTTTCCCGGGGGACAAAGTAGAAAGACTTGGTTGGCTTCTTTACACACGAGTTCTTTATTAGTATCTTAGGAAGTACGCTTAAGGACGACAACTTAGTCTATTCTTTGGTCTAGCACTGGGTTCACTGTCACGTTTGGGCCTTCTCGCCCACTCGCCGTTCCTCGGGATCCCCAAGCGTGGCACTGTCGGCTCTGAGACCTGGTACGACAACGACTCTTAGCGCTAAGCCCAAGTCCGCCGTACTCAGTTCGCACACGACACGTTCGCTCTCACTGGATCCTTCCGTTGCGCGAGCGGTACACCAGGTCCTTTCTCTTGACGCTTTTTGGGTAACTTTCTGACTCTCCTCGATATTCGCTGTCACACGCACTTGCACTCTCCGCACTTGACTGTCCCGAGCCGAAGTCGCGCGCCTCCTTTTATTTCCTCCTTGGCGCACGGCCGCCTCGTCGCTGCCTGGCAACAACGGGACTTCCCTCCAGTCGTCGGCGTTATTTTCCATCGGCTCGTCCGATGCTCTCCACCTGCTTCGTAACGGGACCCAACCGGTGGCGTGATCGCATGGCCCTAAATGGTCATGCGCTGGACCACTGCCGGCCCGATCCCACTATCCCGCCTCTCTTCTGCCCTCCACTTGCTTCGCAACGGGACCCAGCTGGTGGCGTGATCGCATGTCCATAAAAGGTCATGCGCTGGACCACTGCCGGCCCGATCCCATTGTCCCGCCTCTCTTCCGCGCTCCTTTACTCTCCCTGGTAGCGCCCTCCGATCGCGGCTCTCTACGTTGCCCCTCCCTTGGCATAGATAGATCTTAACCCCTTAGGGTCCATGCGTGTGAGGACATCATTCCTCACACTTCCCCCTTTCTTCCCCAACGAACAATTCCCTTCTGCGACCTCTCGTAAGCCCGGCCGTTAAAGTTTGAATTTCAACGGCCGCCCGCGCCTTTACACCGGGCGTGTTCTGGCGCCCTCTGCCGGCCCAGGCACGTTCTGGCGCCCTCTGCTGGACCGGGCGCGTTCTGACGCGCCCCCTGCCGGGCTTACCTGATGGAGTGCTGCCGGATCGGTGAAATGCGCACGCGCGTGCGACTATCACAGGGCTGCATACAGGCCATCGATATGACGTAGGGATGATTTTCTGTCCCACTCGATATCACTCTCTTGGCCGCGTGCGTACTCCACTTCCGCAACGAGGAATTTGTTAATGGACGATGGTAAGTGCCTTTACACTCTTCTACATCGACCATCTCTCTCACTTCCCATCCTTTAGACCCCGGCACGGATTGCTCGCCTTCACCAGCGCATTGACCACCGTGCGGCATCGGCAGCCCCATTCATCTCGGCCGTGTCTCGTCGGCCTCTGCCGCCGCTCTGCCGACGTCTCGCGGTGGCCTCCCCTCATTCCCCGTAAGTCCGCTTCTCGTTTGTGTTCTCCTTTTATTTTCTTTTTATCCTTACTCTCTGTTTTTACCAAGCCCCAGATTCTCGGTAGACCTCCTGGTGGTCCCGGGACACCGTTACCCGGTACCTGACCCCTCCGTCGTTCACCAGACGCTTGATGCGCCTCGAGGTGAACCGCGTTCGAGCCAGGACGCGCTCCACCGCCCCTGGCCACTCCTCCCGTCTCACGGGCCCTCCGCCCCTCGCTGTGCCTGCGGCCACGACGCCTGGCGCTGCATGGGCGCCCGCGGTCTCTCCCGCTCCTCCGGACACGACACCTGCCGCTCCGGCCTTGGATTGGCGCGCCTGGCTTCCGGCGCGGGCCACTGCCACGGACCCCGCTCCCATGGCTCAGGTGAGCAAACTCCCGCCGTGCTCGCGGCTGGCTCCGCTGCCGCCTTCGCTGCCGTCGTCTCTGCGCTTGCCGTCGCTGGCTCCGCTGCCGCCATCGCCTCTGCCGCTGCGCTCGCCGTTGCTGGCTCCGCTGCCTCTGCCGCCGCCGTCGCCTCTGCTGGTTCCATCGTGGGCTCCGCTGCCGCTGCCGACTTTGCCGTCGCGTTTGGCGCTGCTGGTTCCGCTGCTGGCTCTGCTGCCGCCGTGGCCTCCTTCGGTTCCCCCGTGGGCTCCGCTGCCGCCGCCGACTTCGCCGCCGCGTTTTGCGTTGCTGGTTCCACTGCTGGCTCCGCTGCCGCCGCCGACTTAGCCGCCGCGCCCGGCGTTCCTGGTTCCACAGTGGGCTCCGCTGCCGCCGCCGACTCTGTCGTCGCGCTCGCCGCTGCCGGTTCCGCTGTTGGCTCCGCTGCCGCCGACCGCCCCCTTGGGTCGCGGCCATTGCTCCGTCGGGCTGGCGTCTCCTCCCACACCCGCGCTTCTTCCGGAGCCTCCGGCTCCCTAGGTGCCGGCCCCGATGCCCAGGTGATGTGGAGGATTTGGTGGTGCCACACCATTCCTCCCCGCACCGCCGTCCGCACCTCCTGCGTTACGTACGGCCCGATCACCGCGCCTTGTGGTCCCTGCCACTGGTGTTGCTGCTGCTGCCACGAGGCATCCGCTCCCGGCCGCTGTTGCTGGGACGAGGCTTGGGGCCCCCGTCCTCCTTCGGGAAACCCCGCCTCCTCCTCGGTCCGCGGTCGTCGCTGCCACAGCTCCTCCTCCTCCTCCGGCTCAGCCTGGCCACGGTCTTCGGGCTCCGGCGTTGTAGGGGAAGGCTGCCACAGGCCCTCCTCCTCCTCTTCCGCCCGACGTAGTCGCTCCTGCCACTCTTCTTCTGCCGTGGCCGGGCCTCGGCTCTCGGGTCCCGGCGTCGGAGGGGACGACTGCCACCGACCCTCCTCCTCCTCTGTGCACCGCCTTGCCTCTTCCTCGCGGCTCTTCTCCTCTGCCCTCCGCCGCTCGCTCTCTCGCAGTTCGGCCGCCACCTTTTTCAGCACACACTTCCGGTGGTGCTCCTCCGCCTCCTGCCGGGCCTTTTCCTTGGCCTCCTCGGCCGCCTGCTCCGCCTCCTGCGTGGCCTTCAGCCTCTTTGCCAGCGCCCGCGCGTCCTCCCAGACCCGCCGCTGTCGCAGCGCCTCCTTTGCTGCTTCCAGCGCGATCCGCCGCCGCCACTCCGCGACCCGCTTCTCCTCGGCCTCCCGCTCCTCGGCGTCTGCCGGTGGCCGCCCCACCGTCGGTCGCTCCTCCGCTTCTGCTGAGAGCCGCTTCGCTGGACGCTTCGCTGGCCGCCTCGCCACTGGTCGCGCCTTCTTGGGGGCGGGCTCCCAGCTTGTCACTACCACGTCGCTGTCGGCTTCGCTGGCCCCAGAAGACACCATCGGCGACACTGTGGCTCCCACTGACCCTTCCGATGGGATCAGTGGGGACGCAAGGAGCTGCAGCTCAGGGGACGCCTCCCTCCGTTGTCCTTCGCCATCCTGCGAGAGCCGATCCGCTCGTCGCTGGCTCCGGGACAACGAGGCATAATATCCCCGTCGCATCAAGCTCCGTTGCTCCGCCAAGTATCTCGCCATGTGCTGCCTCATCTTAACCTCTTTTTTTTTTCCTTGACACGTGTACCAAAAAGAGCCGAGTGACGGACGCGCTCCCCTTTTTATATTCCTGGGGCCCGTGTTCATCGTTCCGCCTAACGGGGCTTTGCCTGAGCCTCTCGCTTCGCTCTCTCTCATTATTCTGAGTCTCTCTTTCTTCACCAATGAGAGACGGCCAAGTACCGTTTATCCAACCTCTTCGCCGCGTTAACCCTACACAGCCGACTCGGGGTCGTTAGGCACACTTGTCTCTGATAAGTCCACCTCTCCTTTTTTTTTTTTTTTCCTTACACGGGTGCAAAAAGAGCCGCGTGGCTCCCGTCTTTGTTTTAGGTTTTTTTTTCTTTTCCTTTTTTTTTTTTCCTCTCCGGCCATAGCGAGGTTCGATCACTACACCGAGTGGATTCGCTTTTGTACACGGTAATTATCCAGCTTCCTGGGATCCCACATCTGATTTTCTTCTCTTTCCAGCCCGACCCCAGACTCACCCCAGGATGCTGACCATCATTCCCACCCGCGAACAACAGGCCCTCCGGCCTTTCGCCCGGGTTGCCGAATGACGGCCCGCCACCCGGTCAGCTTCTTCCGTCTTCGGATCGATCGCCCTCCGGACGTCCCCCCGTACAGCAGCTCGGACCCGAGGATCATCCGATTCCCCGCCCGGCAGACTGCGTACGGGCGGCATCCGATCTGATCGTTCCCGACGCTCGAAAACTGCCCCTGGTGTCCTGGAGTGGATCCGGATCTTGGCCCCTCCTCGGAACCCCATCTGGAATCACCGTGTACTCCGACGCACCTCACCGTCCGTATCCGCGATTCCACACCTGTCGGGTATCATTGACCTTTGCCTTTTTTTTTTTCTTCTGATGTTAACATTCATTTCTTCCAGATATCTTCACGCCCGATCCTGCCATTCGCCGCGGCCTTGGCTCCTCCCTTTTCGCCTTCGTGTAGACCTTTTTTTTTTTTCTTTAGGAGTATGCCTTATGTCCCCTCCTCCCTCGGTTGCGGTTTCAGATCGCTAATATGGGCTGTCCTCATCCGATTATCCTTGGGGCCCTTCAGTCGGCAGATGACGGGTGACACGAAATCCGTTATCGTGTACGGACCCGCATACTTCGGCGCCAGCTTGGCTGCAAACCCCTCAGCCGCCTTTGATAAATGGTGTTGTTTCGCCCATACCACCTCTCCGATCTTCGGCTTCCAGGGCCTTCTCCTTAGATTGTAGAACCTCGCCTGGTCCTGCGCCGCCCTTTCCAGGTTCCGCCTCACCAACTGAAACAATTCTCTCATCTTGCTTGCGTTCTCGTCCGGCGTGAGCGTGCCCTGGCCGGTCCCTATTGTTTCCTCATCGAATAGGGCTTTTGGCAGACGTGGTTCCCGGCCTTGGACAATAAACGCCGGAGAGTACCCTGTTGAGTCGGACACGCCCGAGTTCACTGCCAACATGAGTTCTGGCCACTTCTCGTCCCAGCATCTTTGGTCCCCCTCGCAGAATTGCGCGATCATGGTTTTTACTGTCCTGTTCGTGCGTTCCGTGGGATTCTCCTGGGGCGTATAGGGTGCCGTGAACTGGTGTCTGACCCCCATCTGCTCTAGAAACTTTTTGAAAATCCGGCTCGTAAACTGGACTCCGTTGTCCGTAATTATCACCTTCGGCACTCCGAATCGCGCCACTATGCGTTCTCGTACCGCTTTTGTGAGCGTCTCAGCCGTGGCCTTCCTTAGTGGCACTAACTCTGTCCACTTCGAGGACCTGTCCACCAGCACCAGCAGCATTGAATTCCCGTGCTTAGACCTGGGCAGTGGTCCCACGAAATCCGCACACACCGTCACCCAGGGTTCCTCGGGCACTTGGGTCAGCATCTTTCCGGCGGCTTGTTGTTGATTTGGTTTGAACCTTAAACATACTTCGCACTTCCTCACGTAGGCCCTCACGTCTCTATGCATCCCGGGCCAGTAATAGCGTCCCGCTACGCGCGCCATGGTCTTCCTTCCTCCGGAATGTCCCGCCTCCGGTGTGTCGTGGTTTTCCTTGATGACTCTATCCCGTAGGTCTATCGGGACACACATCTTCCAGGCCGCGACTTCCTCGTCTCCGGCTCTGTGGGGAATGTGCCTATACACCTTCCCCGCCTCCTCCACGTAGTCGGGGAATTTCTCGGGTTCTTTCTTGATTTGGTCCTTCACCTTCGCTATCCACGCACATGGGGCCACCGTTTCAGAGACCCCGACTGGTTCGTCGTCCACTCTCATACACCGCTCCCCCAGCGGCTGCCGGGAGAGCGCATCGGCCACCACGTTGAGTTGTCCCTTTCTATACGCGATCTCGAAATCGTACTGTTGCAGTTCTAGGGCCCACCGGGCGACTCTTCCTGTTGGGCTTTCGATGCTGTTAAGCCACTTCAACGCCATATGGTCGGTGACCACCTTGAAGTGATATCCCTCTAAGTACGGTTTTAACTTCCTTATGGCCCATACAATGGCCAGGCACTCCTTTTCGGTCGCTGAGTAATTCCTCTCAGCACTATTGAGCGTTCTGCTGGCGTACGAGATAACTCGTTTTCCTCTCTCGGTCTCCTGGGTAAGGATCGCCCCCAGCCCGTAATCACTGGCATCCGTCTGCAGCACGAACTTCCTCCTGAAATCTGGACAGGCCAGCACTGGGTCTGCCACCAGTTGACCTTTTACCGCCTCAAACGCCTGCTGCTGCGCCTCCGTCCACACCCACTTCGCCTTCTTCTTCAATAGCGCGCTCAGTGGCTGTACCAATGTGGCGAAATCGGGTACGAACCTTCGATACCACGAGGCCACGCCTAGATACTGACGTAGCTCCTTGACACTGCTTGGGGGCTGTAGTTCAGCTATCGCTGCCACCTTCTCGGGATCCGTGCAGATGCCCTCCCCCGTCACCAGGTGTCCTAAGTATCGCAACTCCTGTCGGAAGAACTGGCACTTTCCGATGTTCAGCCTCAAATTTGGCTTCTTTAGACGCCTGAACACCTCCTTTAGATTCCGCTGGTGCTCCTCCTGGGTCTTTCCTATGACTATGATGTCGTCCTGGTAGGCAAAGGCATGAGGCATCATTTCGGGTCCAATTACACTGTCCAGTGCGCGCTGAAATGTGGCAGATGCGGAGTGTAGTCCAAACGGCATCACCTTCCACTGGAACAGCCCTTTCCCTGGCACCGTGAAGGCGGTAATCGGTCTGCTGGCCGCTTCCAGGGGAATCTGCCAATACCCATCCTTCAGATCTAGGCTGCTGATAAAGCGAGCCTCTCTCAACTGATCCAGGATGAAGTCTATCCTTGGCATGGGGTAGGCATCCTTGACCGATTTTGCGTTAACCTGACGGAAATCGACACACAGTCTCCACTGCCCGGTTTTCTTTTTGACCATCACGATCGGCGAACTGTAGGGGCTCCGCGATGGCTCAATGCATCCCAGCTCGATTAGCTCGTCCACCTTTTGGTCGATCTCGGCCTGCATCTTGGGATTCTTGGGGTAGTATCTTTGCTTGATGGGCTGTGCATCCCTCATTGTGATCGTGTGCACCGCCACGTTGGCCGTCCCCGTCATCTCCTTGAACTCGGCCAATTCCCGCTCAAGGAATCCTTCTACCGTTTCCTTCTCCCGCGTCTCCTCACTCGACCCTTCCTCTGGGGACTCGGTCACCCCCTCTCCGTCTGTCGAGGGCGCCGCGATGGCCTCCACTACCGCCACGGATAGCCTCTCCTCCGGCCGTCCGTCCCGTCGGCCTTTCGCAGGGATCACGACCCTGTGCCCCGCACAGGTCACCTCTGCGCCGACTGCGGTCAGGAAGTCCCAGCCGAGGACCAGCGCGTCGATCACGCCCGGTAGCACGAGCAACGACATCCACACCTTCTTGTCTCCGAAGGCCATTTCCACTTCGAGTTGTGTATTCACCTCTTGACTGTGGCCGTCCGCCAGCCGCACGCGTTTCTTCGTCTCGTGCTCGCGTCCGACTCCCCGCAGCTGCTCCGCCAATTCACAGCTAATGAAACTGCTGGTGGCCCCGGTATCCACCGTGGCCTTCCATTCGTTTCCCGCAATCACCACCACCGCGGACAGCTGCACTTCCTCCTCGGCGAGCTCGCCGACTAGGTTGTTGGGGCCTCCTCTTGCGACCCCGGCACGGCCCTTCGTGGCTTGGGTCGCGAGGCGTTTCCCGCCCTTTTGCAGCACTGCCAGGTTAGCACGCCGACCTTGCCGCACCGCCAGCAATATGTTAGAGGGCGCCCTGAGCACGCTTGCGCCCAATGGGCGTCACTCCCGCATCGCCGACATGCTTGCGCGGGGTTTTTCACGAATCCCCCTTCAACATTGGAGTCCACCTTCTCTTCTGCCTTTGGCGGCGTTGGTTTCCGCTCCGCTGGCTTTGAGGTGTCGGTCACCGGCTCGTCCTTGCATCGTCGGCATACCTCCGTCCCGGCCGTCTTGGTGAATGGATTATGGGCCTTCGCCCGACTCGTCGGGTCCTCTCGTTGGAATTCCACCCGATCCCTCTCCAGCGCTTCAAACTCATCCGCCAGGGTCATCAGCGTTTCCAGATCTTTGCATCTATGTGGTCGGATGAACATCCTTAGGCCCGGCATGCTGTTTTCTCGGATTAACTCCAACTCTTCCTCGGGTGGGCACTTCAACGGCCGGAAGAGCGTCTGCATCTCCACCATATAATCCTTGAAGGATTCTCCCCACCTCTGCTTCCGCGTTCTCACCTCCTGGAGCAATTTTTCAAAATAACCCCTCGGGAGGAAGAACGCCTGGCAGCTGCGTGAGAACGCCGCCCAAGATTGCCAATGCTTATTGTTGGCGACAAACCACGTAAGTGCCCGCCCCTTCAGCAGCTCGGGCATCGCCCTGGGGATCATATCCAGTTCCAGCCCATACATGTCCGCTGACCATTCGACCTGCTCCAAAAGTTCAAGGGGCTTTGCTGTCCCGTCGAATCGGAACGACCACTCTCTCACCTG